AAATGTTTTAATTCTAGTTTCTAGGTTTCATATATAGAAAATTTGGTTTAAAATCTAAACCGAAATAGAATATGTTTGCACATTCGCTGTGGTGTTGATTCAAACTCAACATATGAAAGCACATTTACATGCGCGGCTGTAGCTGAGTGTGCAAAGATGCTTGATACAATTGGTTGCTACCAAGGCAGGCTGTCCGGGTTCAATCCCAACCAGACGGAGCATGAAATTTAAGATTTTTTTTTTTTTTTCTTAATTATGAAAATGTTTGGGTTTAACATTTAAACCGAATTGTTTAAATTCTAAACCCAACATATGTGCTCTCTTTTTTTTAAACTTGGAAGGTTTGTATTTGAAACTGAATTTAGTTTGGTCATATATGTAGTCCAAAAAGTTTAAAATTAAAACCGAAATTTTTAACCGTGCAAATTGCGGATACACCTTTGTTACCTTCAGACAACTTTGAGCTGTTTTCAGGCCTTCTTAAACAACCTACTTTTGTGAGCAGAACTGATAAAGCTATTCAGAGCTGCGGCGATATGAAAATATTTAGGTATATTTTCTACGGACTTCGATATAATTAATTGGTGGGAGGTACACAATTGCGAAATGCCGCTGCTGCATAAACTCAGTCGTAGAGTAATAGCCACTCCTTCAACTAGCGCATCGTCAGAAATCTGCTGGAAATGTTATTTCTGACAAAAGATGCCACCTTTTGTCAAATGATGATGCCCTTAATCAGTTGATATTTTTGCATTATAATATGCAGTTAGGAAACCAATAAAATTAACAAAAATTTTATTTACAAATGTTTTTTCTTTGATACTTTCATTACAGCAGTTATGCCATGCACTCATTTTTCAAATCAAGCACTTGTTATTTGAATCGAGCACTTGATAGTGTAAATTACTCACTCAACCGACAATAGGTTCATTCCTTATCTTTTTGGACTAAAATCTGAAAAGTGTCAAAATGCCAGAGCGTAAGCAAAATGCGCTCACTAAAAGAGAATAACAGGAATAGTAAAGGAACGCAAAAAACCAAATTTTTAGTCCAAAGAATGGCAACAACAAAGCTAACGTCAAATAAGAATGGAAATGTATTTACAAAACACATTCACACAAGCACAATAAACACTTACTATATCAATTATTTTTTGCCACCTTCCAATTTCAATTCACTTTTTTTACTTTTTAGATTATTCTCCCTTTTTGCCTATTCTTTAATTTCCGTTAATTTAAATTTAGTTGAGTTTGACACTTTTCAGGATTTTGCCAGAAAAAATTCTTCTGACTAAATCTGACTACTTCGGACTGATGAGAGTCACTCTCACTGGGTGTTGCTCTCTCATTTTAGCTGTCATTTCCGAGTTAAGGAACGCTTTTTGGACTAAATCTGACTACTTCGGACTTTTTCTGACTATTTCTGGGAGATAAGGAACGCTCCTAATGTTTTTTCAATGCTATCGCACGTTTTGTTTGGAAATAAATGAGTGCGAGTGTGTGCAGATGTGAAAAGAAAGCGAGTGACTTAAAATGTAATTTGAATATATCCATGCAGCTCTCTGGACTCATGCTTACGACGTAATACCGAAGTACTGCACATTAAAACTGATATGTATATCTCAAGAAAGAAAAATCGAATCCCAACAAACGAAAATCATGCCCTAAGTAGAAATGAGCAAACAAATTTTTGTTTTCATTATATAACCTCAAATATCGCCTAAAACCGTAATTTTGGCACTTTGAGGTTAGCATATCTCAAAATTCTAGTGCTAGAGCAATTGTGCGGCCAGATTTGGATTCAGCACCAAGAAACGATGTGTTTTAGTCAGGTGGTACAAAAATAAAAATTTTTACAAATAATTACAAAAGAAAACAAGAAATACTTAACTTACTCGCATATCTACTAGCATTTTCAACGCGAATAGAATTGAACAAGGTGAATTTGCAAGTGCCACAGCTTTAAATATT